TCTTTTTTTCTAATTGGTTACGATTTACGAATGATTTGGTTTTGATTTAGAGACATATTTTTGTGATAAAAAAAATTAATCCAACAATTAACTATTTTTATCCTTTTTTGTGTAAATTTTATGTGCGCAAGGCTGTTAAAAAAGTTTCCATAAATTTGTGTAAAAAATTCCAAAAATTAATCTGATTTGCTTAACATTTTTTAGTCAATTGAAAAATTCAAAATGTCGGTTTCAATATGGCGACCCAAAAAAAAACTTGAAAAAGTACATGTGAATTCCTCTCTTTTTTCGAACACCTTTTTTTTAGATTTGTAATACTAAAAGCTACTTTTTCCTTTTTTTAGAATTTGCACTACTGTAAATCATCTAATAGTTGAAATAAAAAAATTATTCTCAAAAATTATAATAAAATTCTTAGAAACAATTACAAATTTTTTAATAAAATTCTTTGAACCAATTTATTTATTTTTCACAATTTCTTTTTCAAATTTTTCACAGAAATTTAATAATTTTCACAATAATAATGCCATTTAATTATTTTTAATTTATTCTATTTTAATAAAATTTCAGAAAGGAATTCAATTATTAAAAAAAATTTTAATAAAATTCTTCACAAACATTCAATTAATTTCATAAAAAAAATTATTTTCAAATTTATTTTCACAGAAATTCAGATTTTTGAAATACGATTTTCAGAAAATTGTTTGAATGAAATTAATTATTAAAAAAAATTCTTTATAAGAATATATATATTTTTAATAGAATTTTAATTAAATTATCCGGAAAAATTTCATTATTTTCAAAAGTTTTATTAAAAAATGTTTCATAAAAATCCAATTATTAAAAAAAATATTTAACAAAATTCTTTGTAAGAATAGTCAATTATTTTTTTAAATAATAAATTTATTCTCAAGAATTTAATTATTAATTAAAAAAAATTCAATAAAATCCATTATAAGAATTTAATTATTATTTTCTTAAACAATAAAATTCTTTGGAAGATTTCAATTATTTCTAATACAATTTTAAATAAATTCTTTGAAAAATATAATTATTTTTAACAACTTTATGAAAATTCTTCAAAGGAATTCAATTATATTAAAAAATTTTAATTAAATTCCTCATCAGAATTCAATTTTAAGAAATAATCAATTATTCAATAAATTATTTATTTTTGTTCTTAAAATTTAAGTAATTGAATTCGTTTAGAACTTTTTCAGAAAAATTTATTTAAAAAAGAATTTCAGTTAAAATTTTAGATAACAATTGAATATTAAAAGCGTTATAGTATGAATTATTAATTTCTTGTTTTTCTAAAAAATTATTAATGTTTTGAATAATTTAATGTAAAAATTAAACAAAAATGATTGAATTTTGAAAGAGTTGTATGAGAAGTTTGAACTGAAATTTTATGAAATGAAATTATCCTGTCAGTACCTAGTAAAAATAATTTTAGTAGAAGATTTTCAACTAGAAGTATAGTTTGAGTAGAATACTTTTTTTGAAATGGTGGATAAATTTCTACTAATTCCGACTTAAAAGAGTATCTCAATGTAGTAAAATATTCTGCAATAGAAAAACTTTTACAAATTTAGTTGTAAATTTGTAATAAATAAATCGGATACACGTAATCCTTTCAATTCAGTCTCGTATGGAGTTAAGGAAGTTAATTTCTGATCGTCGAAGCGAGAAATAAATTTATTTTCTACGTTTTTGCATTTTTATCTCATATCATGAAAAATAGTAAGATTAATTTTGTATTTTTTGGAAAAATTTTGCAGATAAAATTTATTTTATTCCTTTTTCCAATTTCCGGAATTACTTGAAATTTCATACTTCTATTTCAGAGTAAAAATCAAATTCTAGTTTAATTTTGGATTTTTTTTTACTTCATCCTTCAATAGAATAAAAGACTAAATAATAATAAAATAAATAAATAAATTACTTGAGTAAATTTCATTAAGGAGGAGTTATTATTGGTCAATAATTTCGTTAAAGTTTAAAAAATAAAAATTCGCAGTTAAGAATAATTTCCATCGGGATTATATTCAATCAAATAAATATTTCGAGAAATCCTATGCGATATTTATATACAACCCCCTCTCGATTCTAATTTTATTATTTATTTGAAAAAAGAAAGTTAAAGATTAAAGTGGTTTTTCGAATTGAAGTTGGACCCGAAAAAAAAGGTTATTTCCGTGAAGGTGTTGCTGTGAAATAGATTTTTGGATTTGTAAAGGAATGGTTTGGCACGTGACTTGGCATATCTTTAGGGAGGTTTCGCGAATTTCTGGATATTTCAGTTCGATTGCAATTCACCGAGTTAGAGTGGCGAAAAACCTTGCACACAATTTGAAAGAGGAAACTGACATTGAGCAAACTTTGGCGAGAATGAGATAGTGTTGGCGGGATAGAATTGGAGGACTTAAAGGGGCTTCACGCCTCGAAAGATAGGGTAAGAGTAATTCCTGATACACGATAATAGAATCTGAGATTGGTATTTCTTCCCTTTTTTCCCCCGTCTGTTGGCACACGTTGATTTATTCCTTTTAAATTCAATATTTTCAAATTTAGTCAACGAATATTTCTTCACCACCACGAGGGGTAATAGTTTTTTGGCGACAAAAAATTTCTCTAAGATATAATAATTTATATGGATGTTAGAAGAAACTATTGTTGAAATTTTTAAATTTATGAAACATATTCGAATTCAGTGACCCCAAAAACCCCCGAGTAACCATTTTCAGTCAATTTTAGCGATTTTTAAAATTCTGTCCACCATCTTGAATGCGCCATTTTGAATTATTAAATTTAACAAAGATATTCGAATTCAGCGAGTCCAAAAAACTCAGAGTAACCATTTTCCCCTAAATTTAACGATTTCTAAAAATTCTGTCCGCCATTTTGAATTTTGTATTATTTACTAAATTTGTCATGAAACTTATGTTTTATCAAAATAAAAGCCATAAAAAATTACATATTTCGAAAGAACACATTCAAATACATAATTATTATTATTTTCGTTTTCTCTTATTTAAATTCGTATAAATGATTAAATATACAAAAATACAAAAGAAATTTAAAAATATAAACGAATAATAACAAAAATAAATAAATGATTAGTTTGAAGTAAAAATATAAGTAATAATTGCGAAAAATTAGAAAAAGTTTTAATAATGAAAATGAAAATTAAGACTTTGCAAAGCGGAAAATAAAAGAAAGGATTGTAAAAAGAAATATGTTAATGCTTAGTACTGAGATTAAGAATTAGTATTTACTAAGAAAAAAGTTCTTTTTAGTATTATATATATATTTCCCTTTCGTATAATGCAAATGCGCTCTTTCTATTTCTCCTTTTTTTCGTTCCTTTTTTCTTCTTGCAACGTTTCATTACTCTTAATGAATTTTTCGTTTCTCACTATAAAGAAATCCTCGCATAAACCTACTTTTCTCCAAAGAAAATAAAGTTAAGTGGAGATTTTTATCGCTATTTACGTTGTAAATCGGTTCCTTATCGTCTTCATCCATCTCTCAATGTAATATATTTCTTCAACTATTTTTTTTCACAGTTACATTTCAATATTTTCATTACTCAGAATGAAAAATTATTTCTTCTTCTTTTCTATTTTCGAATTTTTAAATTTATTTTCAATTTTTTTTTCTATTTTTTTTTTTCATAATGTCGATGTTTTTTTCAATTTTGCAAAAATCTGAATTGGAGAAATTTATGTACCTAGTAACTTTTAATTTACTTTGATTTATTTCATTTTCTCTGTTAAATGAAATAAAAGTTTTCTTTTTAATTTTACTCAGTAAAATATGAGTTATTTTGTGTCATATACATTACGAGTGTCAAGTTTTAGCTAATTCAATCAATTTAAAAAAAAAATTTGTTCGCCATATTGGATCCGCCATTTTGAATTTTGAAAAAGTAACATCAGATTAGTAATCAGTGACACAAATAACCCCCGAGTGTCAATTCTCAATCTAATTCAATGAATTTTAAAAAAATTGTGCGCCATATTGAATCCGCCATTTTGAATTTTGAAAAACTGACCTCGAATTCGTAATCATCGTTCCTAGAAACCTCTAAAAACATGTTTGATTTTTAAAAAATTTCTCCTCCCTTTCCGACGGCGTTAAGGGGTTAAAAAAAGTTATAAACAATGTTTGAAAGGTGGTCCAACCCTGTCTATGTTTCCCTATTGCAAATAATATTTTTAATAAATAAAATTTCTCTAAGTTGACTGATTATTTTCTATGAAATAATTCAAATTAGTTTAATCAGTTTAAATATTATATTTAGATTTGTTAAAAAGTTTTCAGGATAATTACAAAGTAGAAATTTTTTATTTTTGTTGGAAGAGAAATATTGAATCTTCAAATGATTTTAAATTTTCCTAAATTGTGGTAGAATAATTTCTCTTTCAAGACTACAAAATCCTTTGATTCTTAGCGTCGTTATATTTAATTAAACGTGTAAATTAATTGTATAATGGAAAATTAAATGCAAAAAGGATGTTTTAGAAATTACTAACATTATAAATTTAATACGAAAATGAATTGAATTTTAATTGTGGGGAAAATTTTAGAATTACATTTTGTTCTTTAAAAATTAATAAAATTAATAATAATAATAATTATTATTATTAAAGGTGAAAGAAGTTATCAATAATTATTATTTTTATTATAGAATAATAATAATTTTTATTATAAAAATAGTAATAAATTACTATTATTATTCCCATGTGGAAGGATTTCCGAGATAATTTCGGAAATAACTCCCAAAAATTTCCGGAATTCTTTTTACATGGATTATTATTATTATTTTTATTATTATATTCGAAAAATATTATTTTTGATATTTTATAAATACTTATTATATTTAATGAATTGGATAATATTACATTATTGTTTTTTAAATTAATTATCTGTAGTCGGTAATTATAATGATAAATATACACGGCTAAAAGCTACTTTAGTTAAGTGATACTACTTACTTATGCGGCATTAAGACTGCAGTAAAGTTAATGGCGATGGAAACCTGTCGACTAGAAGTGATGAGGTATCGGCAACGCATATTAGGTGCATATAAACCAGGATATCCAGGGCTCGCCAAAATGCAATCTCTCGGACATTCCATATCCTCGTAAACCCAGTCACATTCTGTTAGGAAACAAACGAAAAAATGAAAAATTCATCACAAACCTGACAACAACAAAAAAAAAAGGAAAGCAAAGGAAAAAAATGCCACTAAACAGAAGATAAATCGGTTTATGGATTGAAAAGAATTTTCCATAGCATTTTTCAAACTAGTAAAAAATTATGGGAAATTTTTATATAGAAAGATCTTAAAAATTTTAAAGGTGTTAAAAAATTTACGGAGGCTATATTTTTAAATTGAAATTCTCTTTTTTAATAAATTCAATTATTTTCAATATCTAGTATTTTCAAAAAATTTCGCAAAAGAATTCAATTATTTAAAAAAAATGATAAAATTCATCGCAGGATTTCAATTATTTTTAATACAATTTTACAGGAATTGCTTAAAATTATAATTATTCTTAAAAATTTAATTTCAATTCCTCGAAAACATCAATTATTAAAAAAAATGTTTTTTCAAATTCTTTGGAAGAATTCAATTATTTACAAAAATATTAGGTAGAATTTTTCACAGGAATTCAATTATTTACAAAAATATTAAGTAGAATTTTTCACAGGAATTTAATTATTTTCAAATATTTTAATAAAATTGTTCAAAAGAAATCAATTATTTTAAATACAATTTTAATTAAATTTTTTTGAAATAATTCAATTATTCTATTAAATTTTAATAAATTTTTTCTTGGAAATTAAAATATTTAAAAATTTCTAATAAAATCGTTCGCAAAAATTCGGTTATTTTCGAAAATGATAAAATGTTTTTTATTAATTCAATTATTTTCAAAAAAATTGAATCAAATGACACACAGAATTCAATTATTTAAAAAAAATTTTGTAAAAATCTTCATAAGAATTCAATTCTCTTCATGAATAATAAAAATTTCTCAGGAATTCAATTATTTAAATTAGAATTTGCATAAAATTAGTCGAAAGATGAAATCAATTATTTAATTTTTATAAAAGTCTTCGATAGAATTAAATTATTTTTATAAATATTTAAATGCTTTCATGAATAATAAAATTCGTTGCAGGAATTAAATTTTTTAGCAGGACAAGAAAGAATGAAATATTTTTGATGAAAATTAGGAAAAAGTCAGGAAAATAAAATATAGAATGGAATTTTTGTCATTTTTGTAAAGTGTGTCTAGAACGAGTTTTTTTGGTGGTCAAGTTTAATTTTTCAGTAGCTACTATTTTACTACTTTTTTTTAGTTTGAAAGCTACTTTTTGCTACTTTTTTTAAACTTAATTATCGAGTACAAAGTCTGCTACTGTCAATAAGAACAAAAAAAATTAAAAATCAATGAGTCTCACTCTCAAAAAGGAAGAAACCTCTTTTCCAAAATTCGAAATTAGCAATCAAAAATGCTATTAACACTTTGCAAAAAGAACCACTCTCACTAGTTAAAAAAAAACCAAGACCCTTAATGCTTTTAAAATCGAGGTGAACTGTAGAAAATAAAGGTTGATGATAAAAAAATTTCCCTCTAAAAGTATTACTTTCGCTCTAAAAACTACAAGCTTTGTCGATTAGGAAAAAGAAATGGAATTCCTAGGATTCAAAGTACATTACATAAATTCGGAAAAAAGTTTCCCTTTTTTTCTATCTATTTCCCTTTTTTTTGGATTATTTCTGTATGTGGCTAATGGGTTGGCCCATTATGACAATTGTGGAATTGTAAGTCTAAACGAAGACCAGAAGGAAAAGGTCATCCGCAAGTTTCACGGAAGAGAGAAAAGTAAAAGAAGTAAAAAAAAAGGAGGGGAGGAAAAAAAGAGATAAAAGATTCAACCGACTCTTTAACTCTTTATCCTGCGAGAAAGAAAATTATACCCATGGTATCTACGTCTTCTCTGTTTACGAGAGTCGAATATATAAAGGTTTGAATAAAAGGATAAGGTTTGAAAATGGAAAATCGATTCGCCGAGTGAATGTAATTTACATTCTGTACGAAAAGGAACCAATAAACTTCACAAATCACGAATCCTTTTGGATTTGAGAAACTTTCATTGTAATATAAATTTGTCTCACGTAAATTTAAACGTCAAAAGCCAATATCAAATATAATAGACTATATTTCAATATTATTCAATGTTTCGCGAATAATTTTCAATTTTTTCGCACTTACAATTTTTTTGAATATAGATTTATATTGTAAATGTAATCATATTATAAATCATTACAGAAATTATTATGCAGCTATTTTTTCCATTTTGCTAAAAAAAAATTAAAAAATTGTTGGAAAATTAAAATTAGAAAGTAGAAAATATTTTACACATTTTCGGCTTCTCAATTACAATTCATAAACAAGCAAAGTACAAGTATTAAGTAAAAAAATATACTGAATCAAATTTTGTTAAAGAAATTTTTAATTTATTTTGGAAAAAATATTTACAAAATTTATATTTGTTAAAAACGATTGTAAAATTATTCGCAAATATCAATAACTTCTTTTCTAAATAAATATTTAATCATTATTATTTTTCCATAGGAATTAAAATTCTTCAAAAGCTTCAAATTCAAACCTTTTTGAAATTTAACAACTTATAAGAATATTTATTATAAAACATGAAGAAATTGATTTCATCATTTTAATTCAATTATTATTTTCTAGAATTTTTAAATAAAATTCTTCTTTAAATCAATTATATTTAATATTTTTTTTAAAAAAGTTCTATGAGATTTTTCAAACCTATTTGTTTACAATTCAATTTTACGAAATTTCAATTATTCAGAAATTTTTCAATTGAATACGAATATTGAATAATAAACACTTCAAATAATTTCAGAAAAAAATTCAATTAAACTTTTTCAAAATAATTAATTCTATACAGAATTGTTATCTATAATCATGAAAAATTAAGATTTTCAAAGAATTTAATTTGAAACTTGTTCAAAATTCAATTTTTTCTTAAAATTCATGATATAATGCTTTTAAAATTCAAATATTATTTGAATATTTGAATAATTTGAATTATAAATATTCAAATCTAAAATTTTAACTGAAATTCATTTTTAAATCAATTTTTATTAGAAAATTCTACTAGAATTCAATTATTTAAATGCAAAAAGAAAAATAATTTATTGAATAATTAAATATCTCTTAAAATTGAATTCTCATAAAAAATTTTTATCAAAACATTTTTAAATAATTGATTTCTTTTGACGATTTTAAATAAAATTGTTAAGAACAATTACATTTTTCGAGGAATTCGATTAAAATTGTATTAAAAATAATTGAAATTCTCCAAATGAGGAGTATTATTTGTGAAAATAATTGAATTCCTAAAAAGAATTTTATTATTTGTTTATTTATGAAAATAATTCAATTCCTGTAAAAATTTTTATTATTTATTAAAAATAATTAAATTATTGCGAAGAAATTTATCAAAAAAATTGGTAAATAATAGAATTCATATGAAATTGAGGGAAATTTTTGAAAATAATTGAAATTTTGCCAAAAATTATATTAAAATTTTTTAAAAATTTGAATTTTGACAAGAATTTTATTAAAATTTTTTTAAATAATTGAATTTTTGAAAAGAATTTAATTACTTTTGAAAATAAGTGAATTCTGCAATTAAATATATATTAGAAAATAAAATCTTCAAATAATACAAAAAAATTCAATTAAACTTTTTCAAAAATATTAATTCTACAAAACTTGGTTATAAAGTATGAAAAATTAAGATTTTCGAAGAATTTAATTTAATTTGAATTTGAAACCTTTTCAAAATTCAATCATTTCTTAAAATTCTTGCTATAATGCTTTTAATATTCAAATATTATTTGAATAATTTGAATAATAAATATTCAAATCTAAAATTTTAACTGAAATTCAGTTTTTAAATAAACTTTTATTAGAAAATTCTACGAGAATTGAATTATATAAATATAAAAATAAATAATTTATTGAATAATTAAATAGTTCTTGAAATTGAATTCTCATAAAGAATAACAAATTTTTAAATAATTGATTTCATTTGACCAATTTTTTAATAAATTTTTTAAGAATAATTACATTTTTCGAAAAATTTGATTAAAATTGTATTAAAATTTAAAAATAATTGAAATTCTACGATGAGATTTACTTATGAAAATAATTTAATCCCTGTAAAAAATTTTATTATTTATTGAAAATAATTAAATTATTGCGAAGAAATTTATAGAAAAATTTGTAAATAATAGAATTCATATGAATTTGAGGAAAATTTTTGAAAATAATTGATATTTTGCCAAAACTTTTATTAAAACTTTTTAAAAAATTGAATTTTGCCAAGAATTTGATTAAAATTTTTAAAAATAATTGAATTTTGGAAAAGAATTTGATTACTTTTGAAAATAATTGAATTTATGCAATCAATTATAATTTTTCCAAAATTCAATTTTTTTTGTGTTTTTGAGTGCGTTATTTTAGCTATGTTAATAATAATAATTTCAAAATTAACTGTTATTAAATTTTTGAAATTTGCTTTGAATCAACTTTTATTATTTTTCATCCAATTTGTTGTGGTTTTAGAAAAGGAAATACCTTACATAAAATCTTTTTTTTCAAGAATACTTTTTTTATTTTTTCCTTACTACTTTTTTTTATAAAGGGAATGTTCAGAGTGTGGTGGGTTTAGAATTTTAATTGAATGGTGTAAGGGTCAGTAAAATCGAACAGGTCGTTCGTGAAGGGAATCTCGTAGATTACAGAGGTAGACGTGATCAGTCAAGTGAAAAAAGTGCGAGCATTTACCTTCGGTTTTCTGAGCATGTGTGTTGTGTGAGTGTCGCGGTGTATTTATTCGACGCTATTCGAGATGGTTTAAAGAGGTTCGAGAAGATTCAAGAGTTGGAAATTCATGATATCGAGTGACCAGTGTGGTATATTGTATATATATTTCTATATATACATATACAAGAACATAAAAAAACAAAAGCTTTCCCTCGTGAAGAAAACTATATAGATCTATATAAATAGGTATATTAAACCCTTCCTGCTCTCTCTAAAGTTATAAATTCTTTCGCTTTCTTGAATAAATATCAGCAGAAAAAAGCCATTTTAAAAAAGAAAAGGATGTCATATTTTTTTTCTCGAATAAAAAATATAAAAAAACGAACTATAAAATTTATATTAGAAATACGTGAAAGTAAAACTTTTTTTTTCTTTAATACTTTGACAGTTTATTCTTCAATGGTTAGTAGAATTGGTCAGGGAAATCAAGGTAAAGTCAAGAATTTTTATTAAAAGTACAGGAAGAAATTAAATTTTTAGAATTCATGAGAAAATTCCGAATTTTTGTGTCTTTTTTGTTTGACTCATAAACTATAAAATTACCACGAATTCTAATACAAAACCTTCAATTTTTTCTATTTCTGACAATAATTTCTTTTTAAATAACTTAATTCTTCAAGAACTATATCACAAAATTATTACTTATAAATTATTTAATGGATAATTTCACTTAAATATTTCAAAATTAATTGAATTTTAAAAGAGTTACGTTTACAATTTTCATGAATAAATAAACTTCAAAAGATTTTAATTTGTAATTTAAGAAAATTTCAATTTTCAATGAATTTAAGTCAGAAATTATAAAAAACTTTGATTTTTCAAAAATTTTAATAATTCAAATTCTTCTGAAATTAGTCAAATTTAAAAAAAAAAGGATTTAAAATTAATTATTAATAAATAATAGAAATTTTGGAAAAATTGAATTGGAAACAAATGGTTTTGAAAATTCTCAAAAAACTTTTTCAAAAATTATTAAAAATAATTGATTTAAAAAAGAATTTTAGTTAAAAATTCTAGAAAATAATAATTCAATTGAAATGATGAAAATAATTTTGAAGAAGTTATAGTAACAATATTCTTATAATATAAATATAAAATTTGAAATTTTTGATAGTCTTAATTTCTATGTAAGAATAATAATTAATAATGATTAAATATTTATTTAAAAATGAAGTTATTGATGTTTTCGAATAATTTTACAATAAAGAAAATTCGTAAATAAATGTAATAAAACATTTTTTTGAGTATCTAATAATTTTTAGAGTGAATCAGAATATTCTTTAGGCTCAGCGAAAAAATTTAAATTTTGTCTGGAAATCAGGGAAAAGTCAGGGGAAAACAAAATTAAATTTTTGTGGCAAACCTGTTAAAAATTGAATTTCATTCTTTTATTATCATTTTTTACTTCATTTTAAAAGTGCGTTTTAGACTTGAAATTTATTATGACATTTAGTAAAATATTTTAATGGTTATAAATGAAAATTACCATTGATAAACGAGGACTTTTATTTAGCAAACGGTAAAACATTTTATGTATGGCATAAAGTTATGAGAAGCTTGTTTTTTCTTTACGAGAAATGAAATTTTTTTCTTGTTTGTTTGTTTTTTCATTTTTTTCTTTCTGTTTTTTTCTGTCTCTTTTTCTTTCTGTTTTTTTTTCTTTCACCAATAAAGGAAACTTTGCTCACTTACATAAAGGGTTCTTTAATTGTTGAAATAAATAATAAATATTGAAATTTGAATAGGAAACCTCTGTAAATATTGAAATTTTTATTGTTTTTACAATGGTTTTTTCTTATTGGGGAAGAAAGTTGATGAAAAAAATGAAATGAAAAAATTTATGAAAGTTATAATAAACTTGGAAAGTACTTAGAATGGAAACGAAATGCGAGTAGAGGGTATTGGAATTATGGAGGCGGATAAGAAAGAGGAAAAATATACATATATATATATATAAAGATGAGTAGAAAAAAAAGTTGATTTCAAAGTCTGTGTAGATTGATCAGTTTGTCAGTTCTCTTCATTTTCCGTTTCACTGTTTTTTTTTCTTTTCTCTTTTTTTTTTGCTGGATAAGATTTCTCCGAAAATAAATTTTAAATTAATGTCTGCAAGTTAAATGCTAATAAGTTATGAATCAGAAAAACTTTTGTACTAATTTTTCAACCGTTATGCTAAAAAGGAAATGAAAGATAATTTTAGAGTTTATAGTTCGCAAAAGCTTGAAATTGGATAAAAAAGAATTGAGAATTTGCTTTTAAGTTACTTTTAAGTTATTTTTAATTAAAAAAGTTTTTTAGTTTTATTTAAAATTGATGAAAAAGTTGAATAATTTTTCTTTATGAATTTTTTCATTTACATAATATTTGTAATTAACAAAAAAGTTTTTTTTTTTAATATATTTTTCGTCTATGTGAATAAATGCGAAAAGAGATTATTTTATGAATAAATGAAATGAAATTTTATGAATAAATGTATCTCTGAAATTCGTGATTAAAAGTAGCTCTTGATTACAAAAATGGAATGTGAAAAAATCGTTGAATTTTCATTCAAGCGGGAAGTAAAAAAATTTCTTTTTACTCTAAATATAAAAATTAATTTATAAAAATTAATTTTTCTTTATAAATTAGAATTCTTTATTTATTATGCAAGTAAAAGAGAGTAGAGTGAAGTATTTATGTTCGAAAAGTGTATTTGAAAATTTTCTTTTGACTTTTACTTTTTAAAATAGGAAAGACATTTCCTTAGTAAAAAGGAAAAAAGAAAAATGAAAGGCAGCCGCGAAGTACAACGTAATTTCTCGGTAGTTAGAACAAAATTATACGAGCTTAAGCACAGAGGACTGTCCAGACTTAAACGAATAAGGGAACGTGAAAGATCTGCGCTCTGACAATTTACCACCTTTATGCGCCTTGGCAATGTGATAAACCCAACCCCCTATTTTATTTTCCGTTAATTTGCATTTACGCCAGAAAGTTTATACATCGCACATACGCACGCACGTTAAATTTCAAAAAAAATTCTCTAATCATGAAAATTACTTTGGTTCTTGTGTTTTCAAAAATTATCCTTTTTTGTTAAGAGAGGATAAAATTTCGATTTTGTCATTGACTTTTATTTTGACTTTGATTTTGACTTTGACTTTGAAAATCAAAGTGAAAGTCAAAGTTTATTTGAAAATCAAAGTCAAATTACAAAGAGATTTTTGCAAAAAAGAAAAAGAAAGGAAAAGATTCAAAAAATAAAATAATGTTCCACTAATAAAATTGAAAATGACAATTTTTTTACCTGTATTATTTACGGGTGTGCCCCCTCGCACTGGATATCCTACGGATGTACTGGCATTAGAGGCAAAACTAAAGTATGCCAAAAACTGTGATCTCGATGTGTTTTCGTTAATTCTGAAACAAAAATAAGTTACTTTGAGAAAAAATTTCACTTGTTACATCTATTTTTGTATAAAGTTGAATGAAAGAAATAATTCAATATTATTATTATTATATTATTGTTATTAATATAAAAATCCTACATATAAAAATTCAATATAGAAATTTTAAATATTGTCAACCCAGAGGAAAATGGGTAATTCGAGAAATGCACGAGAAAGGTTCCATTAAAATCCATTTCTCTTCAGGAAAATTTAACAACAAGTCGCTATTTGTATTATTTGTCTTGAAAATTCAATTTGCTTTTTTTGTGTTTGAAAATCCATTACAAGCTCTGTTATTGTATATATATATATATATATATATATATATATAAAATATTTCTCTAAAATTTAACTTTTCAATTAGTGCTTGAGAGTTTCTCCATCTTTAGAAGCTCATTCTATTGGATGAATTAAAATTTCCATTACAAAAAGTAATTACTAAAAACTTTTGACAATTTGTTTCGAAAATCTTAATGATGAGTCGGAGGGACAGTCAAAGAAAAAAGTTGTTCAATTCTATTTTTGTCTTTCTTTTTTCCAAATCAAAGAGAAATATTTATAGTTTATTTCATAAAAAAAAGTATACAACTTTATTTTTCTAAACTTTAAATATTTTAAAGATTTACCCAAGTAGAAATGTAATACTGGCATAGTACTGATCTTGTACTGACTGCCAGTATTGCAGTACTGACTCCAATACTAAGTCAGTACTGGGAAAACCCTGGCTGGTAACGCTGTCCAGTACTGATTTTTACCGGCGGTCAGTATAAGCTCCTTATTTAATTTTTAAAGCATGGGGAGTAATTTATTGAATACTAATAATTATTATTAGTATTAATTATTATTAATTAATTATTAGAATTCCTTTTATTAAAATAAGTTTTTAAAAAATATTTTTCTTATTTTTTCATTATTTATTTAAATCTTATTTATTTAAATTAATGACTAAATTATTATTATTACTGGTTATTAATTATTTAAACTTATACTTTATGTAACACTGTTAAGAATTATACACAAAACACTTAAAACTAAGACGGAAAAATATCGCACGCACGCACGGGGGACCGAACCCTAGACCTCGAGGACGCAAGTCGAATACACATACCGCATAGCCACGCAAGCTCGGGAGTTATCTCGCATAAACTTCCTTTTGAATTGTGGGACCGATATATACAGTGCTTTAATAATAAATCCACTGCATATTATATTTATTTCAAGAAAAATTATTATACATATATCTTTATATACATTTTATCAAGTCATTATGTAGTAATTAATAGATACATCATAATAATATGGTAAAAATTATGAATATAATTATTTATTTATTATTTATAATCTAATTATTTATTAAAATAATAATAAAAAAAATTTATTTAAGAAAAATTTTTGTTAAATAAATAAATAAAAATATATATACAGCTTTAAAAAATAAAATTTTTTTTATTATTAATAATACGTAATAATTCAAAAAATAATTAATTAATAATAATTTATTATTATATTATTAAAATATATCTATTAGTTAATAATAAATTAATAAAATGTTTGATATTATTGTTGATGAATAATGTTTTTACAAATCTTTGCAAATATTTTAATTGTTAATAAATCAAACGATGTTTAATGTTTAATTACATTATAACAAATTTTGATTGTTTTTTTAACTCCTTCGCAGTACTGATTTAGTGTTAAGCCAGTTTTCTGCCAGTACTGATTTTAGAACTTTTCTAACTCCGACAGAGTACTGATTCGGTTTTGGAGTCAGTATACTCCCAGTACTGATCGGGTTCCGAAAGTCAGTACCGACGGTCAGTACTGAATCAGTACCATGTCGGTGTTTAACTCCGTCCTAACTCCGGACATTTCTACTTGGGATACTTTGGAAAAAATTATAAAAATTTGTTATTAAAAAACCTTTTATTTATAATGTTAGATTCTTGATTGTACATTGGTGAAAATTAATTTTTTCTTGCACAGAACAATTAAACTAATTTTTTAGTTTAATTTTCTATTTTATTGTTTTCTAGTTATTTTTCCTTAACTTTCAAAAACGAAAAGAAGAGAAAAAAATACATAAAAGATTTTTTTCTTGTTTTCTTTTGATAAGAATTTAAGCTTAAAAAGAATTTGTTTTTAGTGGAGTAGAAAGGAAATACTAATTCAGTTATTTAGTTAGGTGAGGTTAGCACTAGACACAAACAAGACTGGCAAAGGTTACTCGAGGTACTCGTAACTCTTAATTCCATTATCTCATAATAAATCTTCTTCCATCTATCTATCTATCCTCCTGGTTACATAAATTTCATTACTTTTCATGATGTTGTTTATCGCAAAAAAGGCAATTTTTTATGAGTAAAAATTTATTTATTCATTCTCTAAATTTGAATTAATTAAAAATAATTAAAGTTTTTATTTAATTATTTTATTTACGTTTATAATATCTTATTAACAAAAAAAAGTCACTTTCTTCTTTACGTGCTAAAATTTTTACTAACAATTTAATTAATTGTTTACTAAGTTATAAAACAAGTTGTTCATTTCATGATCATTAAGCTTCCTCAATATAATATATACCAATTGTTTAATTTTTTATTTTAGAATAATTATTTTAAAGTGTTAAGATAAATTATCAAAAAATACAAAATTTCAATTTTTTGTGAAAATTTAAAATATCTATTAATTCTATAAATTTTCATAAAATATATACTTTATATACATGAATCGATTCGTTTTTATGTCAGGAATTCAATTTTGACAAGAATTAATAAAAATTTTAAAATAGAAAAAAGTTATTTCAAAAAATCCAAAATTTAATTTTTTCAAAAATTAAAAAATTGTTGAAAAAATTTTTTTTTTTTTGATATTTTTGAAAATCCTTTTGTCTGATTTTTGGTATTCGTGACCGTAATACACCTACAAAATTTTATTAAAATCCGTCAAGACGTGTAAGAGAAAATTTGTCCACAAGAATCGGTGACATGCACACACACACACACACACACACACACACACACACACACACACACACACACACACACACACACACACACACACACACACACACACACACACACACACACACACACACACACACACACACACACACACACACACACATACATACACACACACACACATACATACATACACACATACATCCGGACATTTGTTCCTCTCGACGAATTATGTATACTACACTTGAAAATTTGTAAAAATAATTGGTTCTAAAAAATTCGGAAATCGACATCACAATAAGGCTTCCTTTATGAGGAAGCAAAATTGAAATAAAATTCTATATTCTTCAGGATTGAGTAGGGCTCGGTCCCTACTAGAAATCAGGTGATTTACAGATGATTAGAAATAATGAATTTGGTATAAATAAATTTCTAATATATTTTTACACAAATTTCGATTGTCTGATAGCGTTCGGGTGGTGGTGCTACTACTTAAAAATTGAAATAAAATTCTATATTCTTCAGGATTGAGTAGGGCTCGGTCCCTACTAGAAATCAGGTGATTTTCAGATGATTAGAAATAATGAATTTGGTATAAATAAATTTCTAATATATTTTTACACAAATTTCGATTGTCTGATAGCGTTCGGGTGGACCTGCTACTACTTAAAAATTGAAATAAAATTTTCTATTCTTCAGGATTAAGTAGGGCTTGGTCCCTACTAGAAATCAGGTGATTTACAGATGATTAGAAATATTAAATTTGGAAGAAATAAATTTTTAATATATTTTTACACAAATTTCGATTGTCTGATAGCGTTCGGGTGGTGGTGCTACTACTTAAAAATTGAAATAAAATTCTATATTCTTCAGGATTGAGTAGGGCTTGGTCCCTACTAGAAATCAGGTGATTTACAGATGATTAGAAATATTAAATTTGGAAGAAATAAATTTTTAATATATTTTTACACAAATTTCGATTGTCTGATAGCGTTCGGGTGGTGGTGCTACTACTTAAAAATTGAAATAAAATTCTATATTCTTCAGGATTGAGTAGGGCTTGGTCCCTACTAGAAATCAGGTGATTTTCAGATGATTAGAAATAATGAATTTGGTATAAATAAATTTCTAATATATTTTTACACAAATTTCGATTGTCTGATAGCGTTCGGGTGGACCTGCTACTACTTAAAAATTGAAATAAAATTTTCTATTCTTCAGGATTGAGTAGGGCTCGGTCCCTACTAGAAATCAGGTGATTTACAGATGATTAGAAATATTAAATTTGGTATAAATAAATTTCTAATATATTTTTACAGAAATTTCGATTGTCTGATAGCGTTCGGGTGGTGGTGCTACTACTTAAAAATTGAAATAAAATTCTATATTTTTCAGAATTGAGTAGGGCTCGGTCCCTACTAGAAATCAGGTGATTTTCAGATGATTAGAAATATTAAATTTGGAAGAAATAAATTTTTATTGTATTTTTACACAAATTTCGATTGTCTGATAGCGTTCGGGTGGTGGTGCTACTACTTAAAAATTGAAATAAAATTTTCTATTCTTCAGGATTGAGTAGGGCTTGGTCCCTACTAGAAATCAGGTGATTTACAGATGATTAGAAATATTAAATTTAGTATAAATAAATTTCTAATATATTTTTACAGAAATTTCGATTGTCTGATAGCGTTCGGGTGGTGGTGCTACTACTTAAAAATTGAAATAAAATTCTATATTCTTCAGGATTGAGTAGGGCTCGGTCCCTACTAGAAATCAGGTGATTTTCAGATGATTAGAAATAATGAATTTGGTATAAATAAATTTCTAATATATTTTTACACAAATTTCGATTGTCTGATAGCGTTCGGGTGGTGGTGCTACTACTTAAAAATTGAAATAAAATTCTATATTCTTCAGGATTGAGTAGGGCTCGGTCCCTACTAGAAATCAGGTGATTTTCAGATGATTAGAAATATTAAATTTGGAAGAAATAAATTTTTATTGTATTTTT